TGTGGCTACCCCAGGGCCTTTGCATCTGCTTCTCCAGAGAACTTGCCCCTTGCCTAGGTCTGCTTCCCTTCCCCGTATCTCCCACTGGGTCCTACAGAGCCAGTGACAATGGGGCTCAGGCTTAGCAACTTGGCACCCCTTCTCATGGGCATGGCCCCTCTACTCCACGGGGCTGTGACCTCAATGCAGGAAACCCCACAGCCTGAGATGTAGGTGTAGCAGCTATCCCAGTCCTAGTTTTTCTATGAAGGGCTCCTAGGTGTCTCAGGAGAAGGCAGCTCACCTGCACTGGGGGAAGAATTGAAGCTGCCCACAGCCTAGAGCACTCCACCCCTAGAGCACCAAGAAATTCTGAGCACAGCGAGAGGGGAGTGGACAACACAGAAACACGCAGGACAGGCGAGGGGGACACAGGGGAGAGGGTCAAGGGGAGCAGTCCCAAGGTCAGCCAGGCAGAGGCCGTGCAGAACAGCAAGGCCTGAAAGAAGAAGTGGGCCAGCTGGACTTAACGCCAAAAGACAGCTTTACCACTGGGGCCAACTGGAAAAAGGACATGGGATCACTCTGCTTATTTTTTACAACGGCATGTGAATCTGCAATGACGTCAAAATAAAGTGTAATTTAAAAAACAGTGAGAGGGACTTCCAGTGGTTAAGACTCTGCATTCCCAGCACAAGGAGGCCCAGGTTCCATCCCTGGTCAGAGAACTAGGTCCCATATGTCACAGCTAAAGATCCCACATGTCGCAACTAGGACTCGGCACAGCCAAATAAATGAATATTGAAAAAAATAAAAAAACAGTGAGATATATGACAAAAGCTATTGAAGGTGCTGATTAAAAAAAAAAAAACTAATGACTACACACAAAAAGAAAACCCATGGTGTTAAGTTAGAATACATAGGAGAGAAAATTCCACTTAAAACAGCAGCACAAAAATTAAATATCTGTGAATCAACTTAGTAAGAGCTATTCAAGCTGTTTAAAATCTACACTGTAAACCCATCTGGGAGCTACCAGGGCCATGCTAATGGTAAAGAACCTGCCTGCCAATGCAGGAGATGCAGGTTTGATCCCTGGGCTGGGAAGATCCCCTAGAGAAGGGAATGGCTACCTGCTCCAGTATTTGCGCCTGGGAAATCCTATGGACAGAGGAGCCTGGCGGGCTACAATCCATGGGCTTGCAAAGAGTAAGACACACCTGAGCACAAACAATCCTATTTTAAAATCACCCCCAAATACACCAAAACAGAAGCGGACAAGCAGAGAGACTTCCCTTCTGCCCAGTTAGGACATCACAAGTTCCACAACACGTCAATTCTCTCTAGTTAGTTAATAAATGTAATGCACTCCCCAAAACACCAATAAACTCTCTCTACGGAGCTGGACCTGTTGATACTGAGGTTTCTTGGGAAAAGCAAATGCAGGCAGAGCTACAGGAGCCATGAAGGGAAGGGGCTGCAGGTTGCTGCACCACCGAGTGACCCAGCAGCCGCGGGCCCCCACCACTATGCTGTGCTCCCAGCACAGAACAGACAGAGCGGCCCCGGGGCAGAACAGAGGTCTAGGGACGGGTGGAGGGGTGTGTGCGCTCAGTCCTTCAGTTGTGCCTGACTCTTTGCGACCCCACGGACTGTAGCCCACCAGGCTCCTCTGTCCATGAGATTCTCCAGGCAAGAGTAAAGGATCGGGTAGCCATTTCCTAAACAGAGATCTCGAGTACGATTGAAAGAAGCTAAAATCACTGGACACAAAGGACTACATATGCTATATAATAAGTAGCTATAATAAGTAGCATCAGGACAACTGAATGGCCACTGTACAAAGATGAAATGAGATCTATTCCTCACACCACAAATGTGATCTAAACATAAACATGGAAACTGCACCCATACCAGGAGAAAACATGGATGAATTCTTCTCCTACAGGAGTAGGGAAAGGCTTTTTCACTATAATTCAAAATCCAGATGCAAGAGAAGAAGAGACTGATAAATTTAACTACATCAAAACATGTTTTAGCATTTACATGATGTCATGGACTGAATGTCTGTGATCCCCACAAAATCATACTGATGCTGAAGCTGAAGCTCCAGTACTTTGGCCACCTGATGCAAAGAGCTGACTCACTGGAAAAGACCCTGAGGCTGGGAAAGATTGAAGGCAAGAGTAAAAAAGGGAGGCAGAAAGTGGGATGGTTGGATGGCATCACCGATTCAATGGACATGAATATGAGCAAACTCTGCAAGATAAGTGAAGGACAGAACAGCCTAGCATGCTGCTGCAGTCCAGGGGGTCACAGAGTCGGACACGACTTAGCAACTGAACAACACTGCTTTTGTTGACACTTGGAATGTCCACAGAGCTTTTTTAAATGAAAGAAAAGGGGAAAAGGGATTTGCAGGCTGAATGCACCCGAAAACACGCTCCATAATGGACTGCGAGGAGGAGCAGGAGCAAGCCAGCAGCGACCTGCCCCCTCCAAGGCCACGCCCTGACCATGCAGGAGCCCCCGTGGCTGCATCCCCTCCTGGGACACGCCAGAGGGAATGAGAGCCCAGGCCAGCAGCATCAGGGCTGTCTTCTCCGCTACATCTAAGTTTGGTCGTGACGGGAATGCCTGAGTCAGCGCTCACCACCAGAATGCTAACCCCATACTCGCTGCTTCACGCAGCAAGTAATTTGTGCAGAAAATCATTTCAGACGCCAGAACATTTCCTCTCCAGATTACACTGAAGAAAGTACACTTGATGACAGTAAAATGGAATCCAATATTCCGTGTTAAGATAAACCTCCACATCAAAAAGAATTGATGAGCTATTACAAGCCACATTCCAAGAGCTCCACGAAGCAACAACGCGTGGCGGACCCACCTGCCAGCCGGTGAGCATTTCAATGAAGAGTTAAAAAATAATAATAATCAAGTGTTGGGTAAGTCATATCAGTTTCAGCATGTGGACTTTATAATAGGAAGTGGATTATAATTAATATTCTCGAGGGGACACAATCTACATGTAAATGAGTGGCGAGTGGCATGGAGCCCCCCATGGAGGCATCAGGCCTGCTGCTCCTCCAGAGGTTCCGTCTGCATCGACCCCAGCCCACGCCCAAGACAGCAGGGGTACCCTGCACCTCTCCAGGGTGGGGAAGTCCCTGAAGCCCCTCCCTCCTGCTGTAGCCCCACCCTAAGCCAATTCTGCCCACCCCATGCAGACAAACTTATCTGCACAGAGTTGCATGTTGGCTGAAACTTCTGGAAACATGTAAGAAAAGCAGAGCTGGAAACAACAGCTTTGTGAGAACAATGGAGATCACTCGTTCGGCTGCACTGAGAACACCTGCCTCTGGGTCAGCTCACCTGACTACACAACGGGGAACAGACATCAGAGGGGACCAGGAACTAACATAGCAGCTGTCTCCTTCCGAAGGCCCCCAGGATCACCCTCTGTCCCCTGTTTCTCCATCGGCTGCACAGAGATGCAAGCAGACTGACCACCAGAGAAGGCGTCTTGTGGCATTTAGTTATTCCTAATTTGCTTGTTAAATGATCTTTCCTTTTTCAGTAGAGCTACCCTATGTTTCCCTGGTGGCTCAGATGGTAAAGAATCTGCCTGCAATGCAGAAGAGCCGAGTTCAATCCCTGGGTCAGGGAGATACCCCGGAGAAGGGAACGGCTACCCACTCCAGTACTCTTGCCTGGAGAATCCCACCAGAGGAGCCTGGTGGGCTGCAGTCCAGTGGGGTCGCAAAAAGTTGGACACAACTGAGTGACTAACACTACCACGACTACCATATAACTCTGCAATCCCACTCCTGGGCATATACCTGGAGAAAAACTTAGTCCAAAAGGACATATGCACACCAGTGTTCATTGCAGGACTATTTTCGATAGCCAAGACAAGAAAGCAGCATAAATATCCACTGACAGATGAATGGATAAAGAAGATGTGGTACATATATACAATGGAAGACTACTCAGCCATAAAAGAATGAAATAATACCACTAGTAGCCACATGGATGGACCTGGAAATTGTCATACTGGAGGGAAGTAAGTTAGACAGAGAAGGAGAAGAATAAATATCATATGACATACCTTATATGTGGAATCTAAAAAGAAATGATACAAATGAACTTAATTACAAAACAGAAACAGATTCACAGGCTTACAGGATGAACTTATGGTTGCCAGAAAGGAAGAATGGAGGGAAGAGTTAGGGAGTTTGTGATGGATATGTACACACTGCTATACTTAAAATGGAAAACCAACAAGGACCTACTGTACAGCACAGGGAACTTTGCTCAGTGTTACATGGCAGCCTGGATGGAGGGGAGTTTGGGGGAGAATGGATACATGTATGTGTATGGTTGAGTCCCTTCAATGTCCAACTGGAACTATCACAACATTGTTAATCAGCTATACTCCAATATCAAAGTTTTAAAATTTTTTAAAAATAAATAAATAATGATATTTGCTTTTTCAACCAAAAACCTGAATCTTAAGAATAGCATGGTTTGGATTTTCTAAAAAATCTCTATCAATGATGTAAATGATGTCTCTTTGCTACCTTTTCTCCAACTGAAGCCTATAAATTCTTGCTCTTGGTTCTGAGACAGGCACATACAAGGTCCAATCAAAGAAAATATCCATCTCTTGGGCAGATTCAAGCTTTACCACACATCATATCATTTGAAAAATGCACTAAAATGGCCTCATTTTTCAAAATAATTATTGATTCAATAATTAGAACTAATGCTATCATGAAGCCTGCTGCCTTCTGAACTATTCACACCATCTGCCAGCAGAACATACTGTTTCCATAAAGAAGGAAATGATCAGAACAGAGCTATCACCAGAAAGAAGTGACTTCTAGTCATGCTCCATGCTTGTTCTCCACACCATTAATAATAATCACACTGCTTTTAACCAAAAGAATAGTAATGGTGACTATGCTTATCCTCCGTGCTCGGAGCCCATTGCTGGGTGGGAACCCAGTGGTTCTTACGTTGCCGTCTGCCCCCGAGGGGCTGTTAAACACATACTCCAGCTGGAAGACAATGGCGAACGCGGGGTGACGGACCATCTCAGGGAGTCGGAGACGGCTTCTCAGGACCAGAGCCTGGTTTCCAGAGCTGGGCCGAGAACATAGAGAAGGGGTGAGTCAGGCGGTGGCTCCCACTGCCCGGCACCCAGCACCCCTCATCAGCTCAGGCCCTGCGGCCCCTGATGTTGCTGTTGCATGAGTCCCCCTGAGCACGGCCCCCATGTGCTCTTCTGGGCGTTTGGCCACCAAGGTAATGTCCCAAACCAGAGCGTTTTTTAGGTGCCACAGTCAATACTTGACTGCCAGCACTGGGGATGGGAGGACGGAGGGTCTCCAGCAAGGCGCCCCCTCCAAGGTCAGCTCTGCCCAGCCTCACATGTGGCACCCCTGGGGGACATCTCTGATGGTCATCTGAGGAGCCTGTGACTGAACCAAGCAGCAGAACTTCCTGCCCTCCGGTTCCCCGTCACGTGAGGGTCACAGGACAGTTTTGGAGGGAAGCGTGTGGGGGGTCCACAGCTGGAAGCATCTGTAACACTAACCCCAAAACCATCAGGGCACAAAAACAGGATCTTTCCAACGGCAGGATGCTGAGGTCTGCTGTGGACCAGATGATGGAGCGGGAAGAAACAGAAGCACCAGGGAAGAACCCAGCTGGGAAAGTGCATCCCTCACACGAGAGAGCGACAGCCTTTCACTCTGATCCCTGGTCGGGTGCCCACCCCCGATGCCCAACTCCACAGGGGGCCAAACCCAGGGCCCCAGGGGGAGATACCTGGCCTTGGAAGAGGAGCCGACCTTCCGGCTAAAGCTGGCAGAGCGTGTCAAGGCCACCTCCAGCTCGGGTACCAGCACGAGGACCTGTGGCCGCTGCACAAAGCCCAACCCATTGTGCACGCCCACGCACAGGCGCCGCTCCAGGATCTCCAGGGCGCCAAAGTCCAGCGGGCTGCCCGCCTAGGAGGAGCACAGAGTGAGGCCAGCGCAGAGCAGGGGCGGGAGCTCGCCAGAAAAGCCCCCAACAGAGAGGCCGACAGGGAGACAAAACTAGAGGTGTCAGACATTCCAGACCAGATGGAGCTTAGTGAAAATATGATAAAGTGTTAGCCGCTCAGTCATGTCTGACTCTTTGCAATCCCATGGACTGCAGCCAGACAGACTCCTCTGTCCGTGGGATTTCCCAGGCAAGAATACTGGAGTGGGTTGCCGTTCCTTTCTCCAGGGGGATCTTCCCAACCCAGGGATCAAACCTGGGTCACCTGCACTGCAGGTGGATTCTTTACCATCTAAGCCACCAGGGAAGCCCGCCCAAGGAGCTTAGTAAAGTCCCACCCAATCAGGGTGGCTTGGCCTTAGGGCACTTTCTTGGTACTTTAGGGGTTCCTCAAATAGCATCACCTTGTAGAGGAATTGCCCCCTAGATTCCCAAATCAGCTAACTCTCACTTTCCAAGGCTGAGCTATGATTCTCAAGATGCAGCAAACTAGCAACAAGGGGACCCGGCTCCTCCAACAGAATCTGAGGCTCTGGGGTATAGGGGCCCCCAGAGTCAAGGGCCCGCAAAGGCACAATGACAGAGGTGCTTAGACGCTGAACACAGAGAGTGTCAACACCTCTGCCCTCCCCCGACTCAGACACCTGAGACTTGGGGTGGATTGGGCAGCAGTAATCATAATCCAATAAAAATGGAATCTGCCCCAAAGTTATCTCTGGATATTAAAGTGTTTCATCTTAACAAAAAATGTACAGGCATGCTAACAAATGGGCAAGGATATTCCTCCAGGATATTATTGTTTATTAAATTATGTGATTGGTGCAAAATGATCCCTGAATTTTTGAGTTTTCTTCATTGCTCATTAATCATGCTGAACTGACCTAAATGCAGCCCATTAGTATTTGAGTAATGAGAATAAAATGGGGGCAGAAACAGTATCTACCGACTGAACAGGAACAAAAATACAAAGAGAATAAAAATATGTAATAAAGTGATCTTTATGGGAACATATAAAATTCAACAATGATACCCTTAAACATCTCAGTAGTCATATAGGCAGGCTACTCTGAGCAACAGGAAAACAGCAGGAACTACACCAAGAAAATATTTGCTGTTGTTTCAGTTCTCTGCTTTGCATTTCTGTTTCTTCTGGAACTATGTTACACAGAGCGACATTTTCAAGAATGGGTTGCTGTTCAGTCGCTAAGTCATGTCTGAATCTTTGTGACCGCATGGACTACAGCATGCCAGGCTTCCCTGCCCTTCACCATCTCCCGGCGTTTGCTTAAACTCATGTCCATTGAGTCGGTGATACCATCCAACCATCTTATCCTCTGTCACCCCCTTCTTCTCCTGCCTTCAATCTTTCCCAGCATCAGGGTCTTTTCCAATGAGTCACATCAGGTGGCCAAAATATTGGAGTAGAGTGGGTAGAGAGCAGAAAAAAAGAGTCCATCTTTTAAAAAATTCCACCTTATTCATGCATAAACACACATTTGTGTGTGTGTGCAATTAATCATTGCAAGCTTCGTAATTTGCTAACTTCAGGATGGGCGCCAGGTGACTGAATCATTCATTCTCACAAATAACAATTCACTGGACATGAATATGAGCAAACTCCAGGAGATGCTGAAGGACAGGGGAGCCTAGCGTGCTGCAGTCCATGGGGTCACAAAGTCAGACACAACCAAGAGACTAAACAACATGTCAACTGTTTGGGGTACATCAGGTGCAGTGTTGTGCAGTGTTGACTTGAACCAAGTCCCTGTCCTCCTGGTGCAAATACTCCAGACAGAGATTGACAGTCCCTCAGTTAACAGGCAAGTGCACCAGGTCCTCTCCATGGCCAAGCACCCAGAGAAACAAAGCAGAGCGATGCTTCAGAGAGCTCACGGGGCGGGGGGATGGGGGTGCTGCCGGCAGCTCTGGCAGGGCGGCTGGGTAGGATAGCAGATCTGAGACTGAAGCCTGAGAGGGACTGTGCAAGGATCCGGATGAGGAATGCACAGGAAAGTGGGCCATGCGCTCATGGGCCCATGTGGGGACAAGGTGTCATGCAGGCAGGCAGACCTGGGCAGTGCCTGGGGGAGTGCCCCTCCCAGAAAACCACTTCAGTGAGCCAAAGTGGTTGAAATTTATAGTCATCTCGTTGGAAATACCCTCATATATTCTGAAAATGTCCCTTGTAAATGTAGACTATTTTACAGGTTTCCCTAAGCTCATTTGGTGATTTAATTCACTTTTAAATGAGGAGTGATTAAGATACATTAGGTCTTCCCTGGTGGCTAAGACAGTAGAGTCCACCTGCAATGCAGGAGACCCGGGTTCAATCCCTGAGTTGGGAAGATCCCCTGGAGGAGGCCATGGCAATCCACTCCATATTCTGGCCTGGAGAATCCCATGGAAAGAGGAGCCTGGCGGGTTATAGTCCATGGGATTGCATACAGTTGTACAGGACTGAGCAACACACACACATAAGATACATTAACGTGTGTGTGTATGTCAGTCACTCAGTCGTGTCTGACTCTTTGTGACTCTATGGACTGTAGCCCACCAGGCTCCTCTGTCCATGGGATTTCCCAGGCAAGAATATTAGAGTGGGTTGCCATTTCCTACTCCAGGAGATCTTCCTGACCCAGGGATCAAACTCACATCTCCTGCGTAGGCAGGCTAATTCTTTACCACTGCACCACGAGGAAAGCCCCTAAGATATGTCAAACTGAATGTCAATTAATGTCTCAGGTTAACAGCACTCTCTCAGCAGTAAAGTTAAGACAATGGGCTAGTGCCCCTCTTCGGGCACAAAGAGACAAGAAGACAGAAACAGGGGCATCCCTGTGACCACCCACATCAGGGGCTCAGGAGGCCGGCATCTCCCAGTCTGCCTGCTGTTCGCTCCCCACCGTTCAGACTAAACTCGCCAACCCTGGACCGTACCTCCCGGAAGCGATCGCTGATCACGAGTTCCAGAAGCTCCTCCTCGAACTTCTCCAGCGAGGGATACAGCGTGAAGAACACATCGTCCAGGTAGCACGTCAGAGACTTCTGCAAGCGGGGCTTCCGGAGGGCATCTCCTGGACACGAGAGGCTCAGATGGATGACCCGTGGAAACACAACCACCGAAGGGCCCTCTCGCCCACGGGGGTCCAGGCCAAGGGCTAAGCACCGAGAAGGTGTGGGCATCGCTCAGACAGGACTCAGAGCCAGAGGCCCCGTCAGCTAAACAGATCAAATGAGTACAAATTTCATTTGGTCCAAATTCCTCCCCAAACGTCTTCCAAAAACAAATTTCCTAACTCAGCTATCCAGGGCGCACAGGCTGCCAGAGGCAAGGTGACATCTGTTCCCTTCCCCATGGCTTCCTGTCCAGCGAGAACATGGCCAACTGTGTCATTTCTCATTTCCTTATGTTTACCCTGAACAATGGGCTTCCCCAGTGGCCTAGCAATAAAGAATCCACCTGGATGGCAGGAGATGCAAGAGACGCAGGTTCAATCCCTGGGTGGGAAAGATCCCCTTGGAGGAGGAAATGGCAACCCGCTCCAATATTCTTCCCGTGGACAGAGGAGCCTGGCAGGCTACAGTCCATGGGGTCCCAAGTGTCAGAAACGACTGAGCAAGTCAGCGACAGAAACGACACCCTGAACCATGTGGAAACACTCAGGCAAACGTGTGAGCATGGCACAGCGATAAGCAGAAACAAAGACCGGGCTGGGAAGATGAGAGGGAAGTCCCATCCCTATCGAGAAGCACCCAGACCGTGAGCTCCATGAGGGTGAGGACAGAAAGGGAGGGCTGAGCAGGTAAGTGGAAACCCGGCCTCGAGAGGGGAGCATCACACCTATTTGGAGAGGCTTCTCCACGGGCCCTAGAACAAAGGCCACCACAGCAGGAAGAAGGCAAAGCCAGCTGCCCCTACAACACACCCCCGGGGGGCGTCTGCCCCTTTAAATCCCCATCTGTGTCACCTCTCTGGTTTTGGTCTTCTCTGTCTCTTCCTAAACCTTTATGATTATTTAAATATTGAGGTACAAGTTCTTAGATTTTTTTTTTATTCTAGGATCTTTTTTTTTTATTTTTTTTTCCCAATTATTTTTATTAGTTGGAGGCTAATTACTTTACAATATTGTAGTGGTTTTTGCCATACATTGATATGAATCAGCCATGGATTTACATGTGTTCCCCATCCTGAACCCCTCTCCCACCTCCCTCCCCATCCCATCCCTCTGGGTCATCCCAGTGCACCAGCCCCTAGCACTTGTCTCATGCATCCAACCCGGACTGGCAATCTGTGGTCTTAGATTTTTTAAAGCCAGTCCCAAATTTAAAAAAAAAACAACTGATGTGAGACGCAGTGCTGATGAAACCATGCCAGAAAGAACACTATCTTACTGGAAAGTTATCAGTCACTGCAGCTGAGAGGCAGGTGTCTCTATAACTCAGAGTGTATCAAGAGCCTTAAAAATATACATATCCATAACCAACAAGGACCTATTGCAGAGCACAGGGAACTCTGCTCAATGTCATGTGGCACCCTGAATGGGAGGCGGTGTTGGGGAGAATGGATACATGTATACCTGTGGCTGAGTCCCTTCCTGTTCACTGAAACTACCACAGCATGGTTAATCGGCTATATCTAAACACAAAACAAAAAGCTTAACGTTTGAAAAAGAAATCCATATCCACCATCTGCCCCAGCAATGCCACTTTTGAATCTGTTTAGCAAAATAATCAAGAGTTAAGAGTTCAGTCACTCAGTCATGTCCGACTCTAAATAATCAAAGATGAAAGCAAAGCTTTATTTGCAAGAATACTCATTAGAACATTATTTATAACAGACAAAAGTAAGAAACCACCAGATGTTCAAGAATATGAGAATGTTAAATAATCTCTTGCTCATCCATATAAAATGAGAAAAAAATCATATTGTCAGAGGTTATTTAAAAGGAAATCAAAAAACAAAAAAAGAAAAGGAAATAAAAACAAACAAAAAAGAACATTTAATAATCAAAAAATAATATGACATTGTAGGTGAAAAGAACAACATATAACAACATATAAAACTGCATATTATTAGCCCATTTGATGACAAGACTACTTAAAATATATGCATTGGAGACATTATTTTGCCGACAAAGGTCTAAAAGCTATGGTTTTTTCAGTAGTCATATATGGAAGTGAGAGTTGGGCCATAAAGAAAGCTGAGTGTCAAAGAATTGATGCATTTGAACTACAGTACTGGAGAAGACTAATGAGAGTCTTTTGGACTGCAAGGAGATCAAACCAGGAAATCAGTCCAGAATATTCATTAGAAGGACAGACGCTGAAGCTGAAGCTACAATACTTTGACCACCCAATGTGATGAACTGACTCATTGGAAAAGACCTTGATGCTGGGAAAGATTGAAGACAGAAAGAGAAGGGGATGGCAGAGGATGAGATGGTTATATGGCATCACCGATAGAAGGGGACGACAGAGGATGAGATGGTTGTATGGCATCACCGATAGAAGGGGACAGCAGAGGATGAGATGGTTGTATGGTATCACCAACTCTATGAATATGCGTTTGAGCAAGCTCTGGAAGTTGGTGATGAACAGGGAAGCCTAGCGTGCTGTAGTCCATGGGGTCACAAGGAGTCAGACACCACTGAGCGACTGAACTAAACTGATGCATTTGCATGTATACACATATATCTTTTTTCTTGGAGTAGTACTCTCTTCTTGTTTTTTTTAACTGAAGTATAATTGATTTTCAGTGTTTCCAGAGTAATTCACTTCGAATCAACACATATATCTGAATCACAGCAAAGTGATTCAGACATATATGTTCTTTTTCAGATTCTTTTCCATTATACATTATCACAAGATACTGAATAGTTTCCTAGGCTGCATAGTGGGTCCTTGTTGTTTATCTATTTTATTTATTTTATATATAATAGCGTATTTGTTAATCCCAATTTATCCCTCCCCCAGCTTTCCCCTCTGCTAACCATAAGTCTGTCTTCTATGTCTGTGAGTCTATTTCTGTTTTGTAAATAAGTTCATTTGTATCATTTTTTTAGATGTTGAATATAAGAAAAGTGATATGACATTCGTCTTTCTCTGTCTGATCTACTTCACTGGGTGTGATCATCTCTAGGTCCATCTGTGTTGCTGCAAACAGCATTATTTCACCCTTTTTATGGCTGAATAATATCCCATTGTATTTTTATACCATATCTTCTTTATCCATTCATCTGCTGATGGACATTTAGGTTACTTCCATGTCTTGGCTATTGTAAATAGTGTTGCAATGAACACTGGGGTGATGTATCCTTTCCAACTAGAGTTTTCATTTTTTCCAGATATATGCCCAGGAGTGGGATTGCTGGATCATGTAGCAACTCTATTTTTAGTTTTCTGAGGAACCTCCACACTGTTTTCCACAGTGGCTGCATTAATTTACATTCTCACCAACAGTATAAGAGGGCTCCCTTTTCTCCATATCTTCTCCAGCATTTATCATTTGTACTTTTTGATGGTGGCCTATACATGTATGTCTGTAGACAGTAATCACATTACTTTATTCCCCTCTTAATGGTTTTCTATACCTTTCCCATCACAAATACACACTAAGGTTTGATACTTCTGAAAAAGTTTATGTATTCCTTTCATCATATTGTTAAGTGTTTAAAGCAGGTCAGTTGATGAATCAGACCCAATTTAAAAGTACAGATATCTTTTTTCACAGTAGACAAAAGATGGAAACAACTCAATGCCCATCAAGAAGTGAAATAAAGACAAACAAACCGTGGTCCATCCACACAACACAGCATCATTCTTCCTTGGTGGCTCAGAAGGTAAAGAATCCACCTGCAATGCAGGACACCCAAGTTCAACTCCTGGGGTGGGAAGATCTCCCGGAGAAAGGAATGACAGCCCGTGCCAGTATTCTTACTGGAGAATCCCACGGACAGAGGAGCCTGGTGGGCCACAGACCACAGGGTTTCAGAGAGTCGGACACTGAGCTACTCACACTTTCACTTTCACTTTAAAAGAGGAAGGAGATTCTGACGCATGTCATGGATGGTTCAACATGGATGAACCTTGATGACATTTTGCTGAGATGAGCCAGTCACAAAAAGACAAGTACTAGATAATTCCATTTATACGAGGTGCTGAAAGTCATCAAATTCCAAGACAGAATGTAGAAAGGGGGCTGCCAGGGGCTGGGGCGGAGGGTGGGGAGTTAGTGTGTCTGCAGGGTCTAGTTCTGCAAGATGAGAGTGTTCTGGAGATGTGGTGTTGCTCAACAATGTGAATGTGCTTAATGCTCCTGAACCATGTGATGAAAAATAGTTAGAAAAGCACATTTTATGACATGTGTATTTTACCATGATGTTTTTTAAGTGCAGAAATACACAAAGTGTAACCTTTCATAAAATGGTCAAGCAAGTGTCCGAAGCACATCCTCAGCTGGGAACCTCGGCCAGAGGCAGAAGGAAAGAGGGAGGGCCCAGAGGGGAGGCGGGCACGGAAAAGGGACCCCTCTCCCAGCAACAGGCAGGAACTCAAGGTTCCTCCACCCATAGGAAGCACATGAATCATCCATGCAGGATTTCAGGGAACACAGCAGAAAATCGCCAGGCAGCGGGTCCCTCTGGAAGCTGAGGGGAGGGAGGGGGTGATGTTGGCAGGACCCAGAGCAGCAGGAGGTGAGGGAGCAGAGGGAAGGACACATAAAGGATGCCTGTCACCCCCTTATTTTTGCAGATGCATATTATTCACATTCTGCAAGTCAATTCATGTGTCTACATCATAGGGCAGGACACATTCCCCTCCAGTGATTTCAGTGTTTTTAACACACAACCGCTGTCTTCTTCCTTGACCTTGATCCACAGGACCCTGTCGCTGGCATGTGCTCACTGCTTTAGAGCCCAGACGGCACATTTGCTGGTTACCAAACAACCCCTCGGCTCTTGATCACAATTAAACTCTTGGCCAAAAGAGGTGTTCAGGGTCAAGTGGCCCAGGGCTCCATGGGCAGTCACAGGAGTGGGGAGGGCTCCAGGTAAGGTGGCCACAACCCCCACCC